ATGAGCGTATAGAAACGGTTTGTGGCATCGAGAATTTTGTCAGCGTCTGCTTTTTCCGCCAGAATCTTCAACACCATCATGATAGGTAGGATAGTTACAACGTGATAAATGAATGAGGAATTTCTGACTGGTGAAGTTTTTTTAAAACTCGAACCGAAAAATATTGCGATATACCCAGCTACAGTAAGAAACATGAGTAAGCAGATGTAGCTACCCTCAGACCCCAATGCTAATGAATTCCATCTCGAGGTGAATTCCACATATTAAGCTATAACGCTCGCAATGAAGCGTTCTTTGAAGGCCTTCCTACTAGCACAACGAGCCAGGACCAAAATGCGCCCAACGCCTAACAAGGGAATGGTTTGAACTTCCCATGGAACTTTGAATGGAGACCTAGGTACATCGATAGAGTCTCGAATGCTGATTACGAATATGCAGATTAAAAGTGCTACGGGGACCTCCCAGACGAGTTCTGGGCGGTCAAAGTTTGCGAAAACTCAGTTTTGGCTCGTAAGCGCTGCTGATCGATCGCTAGGCAGTGCCACCGTGGCCTAGTGGTAACGGTCTCGCTTCAAAGGCAAATGCTTGTGGGTTTGCATCCCGTTGGCGCGAAAGTTTTTGCTTCGTCTCCTATAAGAGCTTTTACTCTAATTTTCGAAATTCTTCCGAGTTTACGACCCAGCAGAGCAAGTAGATCAAGTATATGACGTACTCGATCGAGTATGGATTTGGTCACTATCTGCCCTCTCTGAACTCATTACCCATCCGACAATTCGAAGTTTTGGCCAGAATCACAATTTGGCCAAAAACTCGTTTCTGGGGGTATTTTGACCCCCTGAGCACGAATATCACATCCGTTTGACGCGAAAACGATCGGTTCCCTCGTTCAGTTGATGACCACAACAACGTGAAAGCAAGCGTTTTCTGTCAAACGGATGTGATATGATATTCGTGTCCAGGGGTCAAAATACCAGCAGGAACCTGTTTCTGGCCGAAACTTCGAATTGTCGGATGGGTAATGAGTTCAGAGCGGGCAGATAGCGATCAAATCTATACTCGATCGAGTACGTCATAATCTTCTTGATCTACTTGCTCTGCTGGTAAACTCGGAGAATTTCGAAAATTAGAGTAAAAGCTCTTATAGGAGACGAAGCAAAAACTTTCGCGCCAACGGGATGCAAACCCACAAGCATTTGAATTGGAGGCGAGACCGTTACCACTAGGCCACGGTGGCACTGCCTAACGATCGACCAGCAGCACTCGAGCCAAAACTGAGTTTTTGCAATTTTTGACCGCCCAGAACTCGTCTGGAAGGTCCCCGTAGCAGTTTTAATCTACATAATCGTAACCAGCATCCGAGACTCTATCGATGTACCTAGGTCTCCATTCAAAGTTCCATGGGAAGTTGAAACCATTCCCTTGTAAGAATCACGTCAAATTTCTAAAAATATTATGCTGATCCTACTAAAATATCATACTAATCCGAAATCCAAAAGAATGCGGAGGTTTTTGGTTGGTAACAATTTCACGAGCGCACCGCTTCCAAAGCAATGCCACGAAATAAGCACCATGACAAAGTCAAATCACAAAAAAAACTTACAGCTTGGAGATCTGTCAGAACGGCAAAGGCATTTGTGATTTGCCTCTTAGAAAGTCTTCCTAGTGGCATTTTGTCAAGATCGAGCTGCAAGAGAACACAATGACCCCATTTCACAAATAATCAACTTGAAGCTTTTGATAACAACACACTTGAAAACTCAGCATGGCACTCTCCATCTGATCCTTATCGAATATCATGAGAAGAATGTCTTTGATTGAAGAAGGGAGAAGGGTTTTTGAGCCGGGAATGACATTAGAAGGTTTCGCAGCTTCCTAAATTCATGAAATGGCACGGAGTGGTGTTAAAAACCCACTGATGACCGGCACTTCAAAACACTACGGAACACTTATACTCTGCATGTTCAGGACGAGAATTTGAACGGAAAGAGAACACATACGAGTTCGCTGAAGTCGGTTTCCACCAAATCCATGCGACCTGGCAGCTTTTTGAACTTGTGCTTCTGCTTCCAATTATTACCCGATTTTTCCAGGAAAAGACTGAAATACAGTTCGAAACAAGAAGTCATAAATAATTCAACATTGGCCGAGGGAGTCGTGCAAATCTTCAGATAGATCGGGCCACCATCAACCCAAGCGGTACATCTAACCATGGACACGGTAAACATGCCTAATAATGTTACTCTGATCTTTTAGCATCGTTCTACCGAGCCTGCTTTGTAAATCATTGAATTTTAGCGAATGCTATTGGCCCAAATAATGCTTGCGAATGAAAATCCATAAGTGTTGAAATTGTCACAAAACAATACTTTAAAACGGTTCTGCGGTACCTCCAAAATAAGGGACTCATGAAACAAATGATAAATCCTTTAGAAGTCTTCTCATTCCTATCAAGTTCAGGGCTTGGTATTATTCTTATGACCCGCTTGCTAAAACTCAATATGGCTGGGAACTGTAAAACAGAGCGTTACGCTGAAAGCGCGCCATTTCTTCAGGTAAAATCATCCAGCTGCGACGAGCTTTCTCTGCGCACTGTGATCATTAGGGTTGCGCAGAGGCAATTGTTCTATGATGTTCTTGTCTTTAAGGCTCTTTCTGATTACACTGTCGGACCAGCCCGCTGGATTCAGCGCACCTACGACAAATAAGCCAATTTTTCTAGGGATATTCTTCGCTCAGATGGTGTTTAAGAGCACTTCTCCCAACGCAAAGTCTACAGTCACTCAGTATGCCGATCCTTGCCACATCCGAGGTGAATGGGCTTATAGCTGCAACGACGTGATACTTTCTCCGCTCAAAAGTGCACGGAAATGAAGTTGGAAGGTGATGCCGGGTACCGTTCCCAGACTCCACCCGCGCTACGGCCGACCACGTACCTAACCATAGCACAGCTCAAAGCCTTACACATCTGCTCCCTCTCGCGTTTATTTCTCCCACCCTCTAACTGCGAGGTTTTGGTACCAACCAAAAGCTGCACCTTGAAGATAGTGCGGCAGCGTCCCGAACGACACCCGGGTATCGCCACTCTTCAGCCTTATTTCTGCGTACTCTCACATGACAAGGTGTCACTTTGTACAGCTGCCAATCTGTACTTCTTGCACAAGGGTAAAAACCGTCTTCAGAGGTGAGCGTACGATTTGACTTCGAGGAAGGTTCAACCTTTCCGAGTCAGACACTCAGAAATTGTTTGACCCAAGCATCCTTTGAAATGCTATGATTCTTTGATTCAGTTGCGTAAAACAATACTAAAGAATCAAAACCTTACTGGATATGTCAAATGGGGTTAACTGGGCCCACGGTGAGACTTACAGCTCTCAAGGTGATAATAATCTGACTTTTCAGGAGACTTTCACGACTCCTCTTCACGTGAGAGTCTCATTCAGATAGCCAGCCTCATCGCGAGCATAGACAAAAGCAAGATAAGGAAAAGTCTCAGAATGAGAAGTCAAGCTTCCGATACAAGAACTCTACCATGATCTGCTCAGTTTTTTTTCTGGCACACGTATCCTGCGCTCGAGCGCAGTGTAGCTGGAAATTACACTGTAACAAACACGCACCGTTCGAATGCCTCAATGGCATTGTCTTCATTACGAAACATTTCCGTTCTCGTGCCACCGAATAATTGTCCCCACACGACCCCAAGAACGAAACAGATAGTATCTAGAAAAGCTACTTCAGTAAAAATGTACCAGAAACTGTCGTAAGTCAAAGCTCACGTTTCTTTGGTGTCGTGTTTAAGAAGTTGTATTTTATAATAAGAGTTTCTATTTGTCTGCAGATCGACTTTACCAAGAACAACGGAGTATAAAGCACCTGAAATATAAAACGCTAGATAAATGTGGTGCCGATTCCCATGCTCAAGTCCAGGGCTTGGTCGCTTGCTACGCTTACGGCGACCTCCGGTGGCGAACCGGCTCATGCCTGTTGATGGCCGCTTATCACAAAGGCTACGGTTTTATTGACTTTGCTTTGCAGCGTGCTAGGCGTAGCGTAGCGCTTCCAGCGTACGCCAGCGGCAGTGCCGAGGAGAGGATGCATATCGATCTAGCTTCACCAGCGTCACCAGCGGCACGCTGGCGTACGCTAGCGCACGCTGGCGTAGCGAGGGCACGGGAAGCATAGCTATCGATCTAGCTTCACCAGCGTTTCTCCAGCGTTTTCCCAGCGCTTGCCAGCGACGGGTGCCTAATAAGCAGCACTGACGGAGGAAGTAAAAGACTCTCCTGGAGAAACGCATGTGTGAAGCTAGATCGATAGCTATGCTTCCCGTGCCCTCGCTACGCCAGCGTGCGCTAGCGGCACCCTAGCTACGCCAGCGTGCCGCTGGTGAAGCTAGATCGATATGCATCCTCTCTCGGCACTGCCGCTGGCGTACGCTGGAAGCGCTACGCTACGCTGCCGCAAAGTATAAACGCAGTCTAAGCGCTAGGGTTCATTAGTATTACAAGAAAAATTGAAAGTCACCTTTTTTGTCTCGATGCACATGCGAAACTGCTGAATACTCGCACTCTTGATCCACGACCGTACCTCCTTTCACGAGTTGTTTCGACAAACCCGAACTCACTGCAAATATCAGAGAAAAAAGGATGCAAAATACAATGTTGCAAAGCCATTAAAGGCGAAGCGCGATTCGCACTTCAGGGTGCGTTCATACTTTGCGTTAGAGTTTTGAGCGTTCGGCGGTGCTTTGAGCATTTCAAACGAACGGGACGTATTGAACATTTGCGGGCAGTCGCTGAAAATGCTGGCATACGCTCAAAACGGTGCAGTACGCTCTCTTGTGCCAGATCTATACCTGTACTTCCCGAGAAGCTCAAGACGCTGCCGTGAGCTCGAAAAGCTCAAACCTCTGCCATTCGCTCAAAAAGCTGACGCAAAGTATGGACGTACACATATAAGGCGCTGAAGCTCCATCATGGATCGCCTCACACAGGATAAGTGCTGTGAGCAGAGCGTTAGGAAAATATGCCAAGCCACTGATTTTTGCGAGTGAAATAAAGTGATAAAGAATACAG